CATCTGGGGAGCTGGCAGATGAGAACTGACCCGCGTCATGTCACCACTTTCGTAGCTACAGAACCGACCCAACCGCCCGTTGTTCCACCTCGTCCAGCCGGAGCTACTGGGTCACCCGATCCTTGCTTCCCACTTCGCGTGCTCGCAGGAACTGCACTTAACTTTCATTTGCAGATGCCCAGTTGGTTCAACACGCCGTTGTGGGCTGCTGATCTTGTCGTGGCAAAGATACAACCCAGTACACTGTTGTGAGCTGCTGATCCTGCAGGGGGCACACACCTTACACACGTGGAAACCCGTGGGTCAAAAGTCCGGAGCGCGCGCGTTTGACTGGAGGACGCGCATGTTGGAGAGAACGTGGACACTCCAGGTCAATTTCTTCTTATAGGAAACTTCCGCCGCCGGCTTGCCCGGGAACTACTTGTAGTTATGAGAAGATTTACTGCAGGAGGCGGTCTGCTGGTTGCTGTACACTCTTCCTTGATTCCTGCAGGTACTCTTCCTATGGAGCCTGGAGAAGACGATGTGGTTGGCCCGCGTTGTCGCATGGAAGTGCCGGGCGTCAAGCTTGGGGAGGAGGAAATGCTGTCAGTGGAGTGGGCTTCAGCCTCTTTGTGATAGACTTGGGCGTCGCTGCACTGAGGGCACTTATAGCATTGTCTCTGGTCCCAGAAACAGAAGATCATGGGCTCATTGGCTTTGGAGAAGATCTGGACCTGATCCCAGACCCCGCGGTCTTGATCGAGATGACAAAAGATTGGGTGGCAGGTCACGCCAATGAGAGGGCAGCATAATTTGCGGGAGAAGGGGACGTCATGCCTTCTACGATCGAGGAGATTGCGACCACAGGTTTTTCGATGATTCAGTACTTGGAGCGCTTCGGAGGCTATGGTCAGTACAAAGAACTGGGACTGATCCAGTATGCGATTGCTCACATTTGCGATGCGCTTCGGACCTCAATGGGGCCCGAGACTACCTGGCCCTTTTGATGGTGGGGGTCGACGGGTCGATCGAGATGTTCCTGGCTGTAGTAGCAACTCCTATGAACCCCTGGCATGGGGCAACAAAAGATGGTAGCTCGCCCTTTGAAGAGTCGGCTATTGTTCCGCTCTTTGGTACCGCTTCATGGCAATGACTTTGAAGAAGGTTCAAAGGGAGGATCTCAGGAAATCAAGAGCAAATTCAGTGCATCATGTCCTGGGCCTTCCCGCATCCTCATGTCCCCGGTGAACTTCACTTGCTGGGTTGACCAATTTGTGCGATGTGTGCTACGGGCAAAGACAAGGTTCTCATACTTTCTGGTGAGGACGTTTTCAGCCAGCGGCGAAGGTTATTCTGAGGACCTCGCTACCGCCTTGTTTCCCGTCGGAGGAAGCTTTTGGTGATGGCCTGGGCTTGAGCAGTCAGAAGAAGAGGCATGCTAGAGCCATGATGAAGCTGATGCACTTTGTTGTCATGGCCCTCAACTGTGAGAATTTCCGCAGCCCCATGAGTATTTTGGAGTTCGTCCGGAGGCAACCCTCTCATCGGCGCAAAGAGGTTCTTGATCGAATCAGGTTTGCGATCAAGGCGTGCGGCCCTCCGGCTATCTTTTCAATGGCCGGATGTGGACGGAAAAGTTTTCAATTAGATGCAAGAATGAGGGAGCTGCAAGAGGCCTCAGCAAGTCTCGGTCTTGATTCAGTCTCTCCTTATCATCGTGGGGCATCAGGCCACTTAGTGCCTGAAGACAATGATCTTTTTGAAGAGTTGAGGCCCTAGCGCCCCCTGAATGCATCTCGGATCCGACTGTCGGGCACTGGAAGTTGCATTGCGATCTTTTTCTTTCTGATCTCCTATACCTGCCTTACATCAAGCCCGGGATCAATCGCTTTGATGTGATACCTCCCTGTGGTGAGTACCCGGATGCTCCTGAACTGATGGTAAAAGTCTCTCCTGTCAACAATTGCAACAACCAGCACTTCTTTGTACTTGGCGAACTCAAGCTGCAAGAGGGTGGTGGCATTCGGAATGTCGTGAAATGGTTCTCCAGCGACTCTTCCTTCAACAAAGTTGCGGCCACGACTGTCGCCTATCTGGCAGTCAACTGTCTCATTCTTGAAATTCCCAAACACCTTGGTGTGTAGGTGTGGCTCATCGTTGGAATGAGCCTCAAGAGACCCCTCGCGTCCCACGCACGACAGAGTACATAGGTCTGCTCTGACTCATCTTTTCTGTATCCCATGAGCGTTCGGCAACAAACACCGTCTACCCCTCTACCCCTCTTTTGTGCTTGGAGACTTCAAGGGTAGTGTAGCCTGTGATCAAGTCATTGAGGATTTTGGAGCACAGCAGAGTAAGAAGAGCAAGGCCATATCTGGCGATGCCCCGCCCTTTTCTTGTCGACTATGACGATGACTCCCCTGTGTATGCCGCCCTTGCGGCCCTGCTCCGGAGTGATCACCTTGGCATAGAGTTTGCCTGCTGTGCGCATCCAAACGTCTTGGAAGAAGCGGGGCGTCATCCTGCAGGGAATACGTTGTGTGCAGATCAGCTCATCCTCCACAACAAGTCTGTGACTGGGTTGGTGGTTGACGATGACTTCTGCCTTTCTTCAGAGGATTTGGCTGGAGCTAGAGGTGATAGATACATTGCTTCGAGTCAGTCTTCTGAGTTCCTCCTCCGTGCAAAGAAAGCCTATGATCATGAGGGTATCTTGGGCTCCGACGATAAAGAGATCTCAGGTTCTCTCCGCTACATGATCATTGGGGCTGAGGTCATCTCAAGTGAGGGTATTGAAGTACACCTGGCCTCATGTGTATACGGCTCCCTCCACCAGAACAAGTTTGCTTTCCTCACCCGGCCATGAATGCACGACGGCTGGCCAAGAAGTGCTCTCGAGACCATGCTCACATCCGGATCGAGGGCAAGTACACCAAACCAAGTGCAACGTATTGCCTTGGACTTGTCACGGCGTTAGCGCAAGTGTTTTGGGCACACATCAAAGCTTTGAACGAAGTCCTCCTACAGGAGGATCAAAAGAGGGGCCTGGAAGACATTTTGTCAAATGAGGTCCTGATTTCAAGTGATTGGAAGGTTCTTGCCTCCTGGGCCTGGAAAGGGTCCTCACACATTGTGAGGCTGAAGCACTTAGTGGAGAATGATTGACTTCAGCGTAGCTCTATGCTCACTGATCCGAGGAAGGAGCTATTCTCTTGCGCTACGGCTCCTATGCGTCCTGCCATGCCCTTCCTGGCCTGAGTTTTTCTCTAGCCCCGAAAGCATCCGTCGCTATGGGCTGTCTCTTGACTTTGGCCCCATCGATTTTGTTCCACTTTTGGATTTCCATGTGAAGGTCCCCTGCCCCACCAGTTTGGTTTTCTCCTCTCCCTCATGACTTCGCGTAGTTCAGTTTGGGGCGCCGGCGCGGGCCATGTTGAAGCAGAAGCAGCGCGAGGGCATTGTATTGCCTGAAGGACGACGGGTCACGCAATTGACCACCTCGGTCCGTGGACACACCTCTGCTGCCCTAAATGCCTGGTTGAGGCAAGAAGGCAAACGAGAAGTGTTTTTGGCATCGCCGCCTGATTTGGACCGGATCAACAAAGTGCTGACCCGGTATGGCCGCCGGAATCTGCTGAAATGGTTCATCGGCGGGGCCGCTGGCTGTCACTGAAGGTGATGAGTTCATACCTTCGAGAAGTTGCCGCTTCCACCTTTATGACAGACATTTCGGAAGAAGCAAGGTCATTGATCCTGCTTGCTCTGGAGAGCTTCCCAGAAGCTTTGAGGCAGAGCACAAAGATTGCTGAGCCGAACTTTCCAGAGAAGGCTTGGTATGTTCTTTCCAAACACGAGCCACAAGGTGTTGCTTCGACAGGTTCAGATGGGCAGATTGGGTACAGAAGACCCCAATATGGGGCACCACCTCCACACCGTGCAAGTCACGCTGGCTGAAAA